GGTAATGATTTGAAAATGAATATTATGAATTATATGACAAAATTAAAGAAATTTAAATTTAATATTCATTCATTTATTCCTTTTAATAATCAAATTAATTTACCATCAAATGAATATATTCAACATACATTTAAAAATTTTGCAAATAAAAATCAAATTATTTCATCAATTGATTGTTTTCCAAAAGCAAATGAATTTCATTGTCATATTTATTCATATCCATATATATGGACAGATTATGATAATATAACAAATAATTTTCGTGGTGGATTATTTAAATCTGTTCTTAAACTCTCATTAGTTGATGAACGTCCTTTCGAACGTGAATTTTTTCTTCGAATTGCTAAATCATTTCCATGTGTCAAAGAATTACATGTACATAATCAAGAACCACAAAAGAATGACAATCAACAATGGTCAATCATTGAATATTCTTATCTTATTCAACTTGATCTTCTTAAAACTCATGAAAATTATGTGGAACAATTTTTGAATAATACTAAACTGTCTTTATTACATAATATTTATCTTCGTGTGGATTATGATACTTTACAAAGAGTAACAGACAATTTTACAAATGATACAACACGAATGAATTGTTCCAAAATCAAATATCTAATTTTATACAATCAACCAGAATTTTGTTCTCCAAATTTAAAAGACTATTTTGCTCATGCAGAAATCTGGTGATTATTCTTGGGTTTTTTTTTTTTTTTTTGTTTCAATAAAATTTGTGATATAAAAAGCATCATCTTCTTTGACATTTTGTAGAAAAAAAAAATAAAGTTATTATATCTTTGAAAGACATAAGATATGAGTTATGTCTGTAAGAAACAAGTTACTTTGCAAGAGAGAAGTAAATTTACTTAGAATTATGATTGTTGATATAATTAAATATTATCGTATGTTATATCAACTAAATAAAAAACCTTGCTATTACTTTGAAAATCTATTTAAATATTCATGTTCGCTGAAATGGAAGGATTAGTTTTAGAAATGGGAATTGACTTATGTTCATCTAACTGTCTGTTTCTAATGTATGTAGTCGAGAGTACGATGTCGTCTAGGTTATAAAAGTAAATTG